AAAATTTGATGCTATTTCCAATATTGAAAAATTGAAAAAAATGACTTTGTTGTAGTTTTTTTTACCTCACCCTGTGTTTTTAGAAAAACAGACTTTTCATTGTTAAAGTTATACCGGCTATTATCTCTTTGTTCATTTGTTTGCTGTAAGATAGACCCATACTTCCTTTTGATGATCTCCACAAAATAACATCCTGAGTCGATATAAGCATGTGCTTTTGTTGACATTAAGTTGGTTTCTGGAATTGAGATATGGAGGTGGTTTTGGAAATGTGTACTATAATTGTACGAAAAGTACTAAATAATACTAAATTTGGTGTTGGTAGAAGGAATAGAGATGAAGTCCTGAAATTTGATGTATATGTCACTGTTGACATTTATGTTTAAGATATGGACGGGGTTTGGGAAATTCGTCCTAGAATTGTTCTAAAATTACTAATTGGTACTAAATTGGGCATTGGGTGAATGTATAAAGCTGGAATCCTTGGCCATGGATCTGGATCTAGTCTTGGGAAATGTGTACTATATTATGCCAAATATGCAACACAGTACTAAGTTTGGTACTGTGTGGGGATAGAAAATTGTGTGATTTGAATTAAATTCCCCACAGTTTATTTGTTTGGCCCAAGGACTTATGAAATCATGATAATCAGACAAGACTTAGATACAGCTCCCATATATAACATAGCACCCACATATATTTATCTTTTAGATGTGATGTAAAGAATTCAATGGACAGAGTTATGAATATTACCATCTAGACCTGACTAGCATAAAGTCATCCAGCTTAACATTGCACTCATTGGCCATAATATTTGTTATGGGTAGTCCTACTAAGTAGTCATTAGGGTGTAGGGTATCCTACAGTTCTGTCCTGCCCGACATTTTTTTCTTATTTTTCGCACTCTTCTTAATTTAGCGCCGCTTCAATCCCAAATCACCTTTTGCAACATTTAAAGTGTTTTCCTTTTTCTGTCGTTTTTCTCTCCTGGCTTTGGAAAATTCATTTGAAGTTTAAAAAGTCGTTAAAGTATTTGCATATTCTTAGAGTGCCATAGATTGAAGTAAAGGCCGAGCTAAGGGGTATTTCATTGTATTCTGTTTGTGTTCACTTCTTTTGCGCCGACAATCACATACCAACCAACAAATACCTGCTGGAGGTAAAGTAAATAAGAAAAAAAGAACAATTTTACTTTTCTGTAACAACTTGAGTTTCAAAGAGTTTAGAGAAAACGCACGAATAATAGCGACAGTAATTGCCATATTTCTCCCCATTTTACATGCAGTTGAATGATTTAAAATAAATATTTTTTGTTTCTTTTTTAAATTCTTCTGCTGAGTAAGGGAAAATATAGAATGAATGTTGTTTATTTTATATTATTATATTGTTTCCAATTGTTTCTGCTATTTGCAGTTGTTCATTTAGGAAAATACTAGTCTGTGTTGTTACATGGGGAGGAAACAAAACAAATATGAAGGGATTATAAAGTATTATTGAATATAATTCGTGCATTATATTTGATATTATGTGGTAAAGTGTACTTAAAATTTTTGTAAGTATTTACATATGTGTGTGTGTATGTTTTGTATACACAGTAATATAAACCATAATTGTAATTTATGTTTTTGTGAAATATGTTATTTTCTTCGCAAGGATTTGCATTCCATATGATAATAAACATTTACAAAGTTTTTCTTCTTAATATTATTGTTGCATTTCTTTATTGTATGTAAATGTAAATATTTGATTAAAAATTATTTTCGGTATGTAATTGAAAACCACTTTTGTAAACATTGGAATATTGATTTGAATACTGTGTACTATGCTACTTCTTTAATATTTCCATTACAAAGAATAACGAAATTAAATTGGAAAGCGTTGATCAACTATAAATTCTTTTTATATCATTTTAGATAATGTAGGGAAAGCTAAAAATAAGATGACATAAAACTCGTAATAAACTTTTAAAATTTAAAAATTTAGATGACTAAATGTGAAAGGTATCAGTTGGGTAGCATGGCACCCAAACTCAGACAGGCCTGTAAACCCTACAGAATTTTGCATTATATTTTGGCTCCTGAATACGTTTCACACTTTACCAAATTAAGGCACTCAAACGACTTAGATATAAAATCAGTTATGTAAAACTATGTCTGTTAATGCTGGCATTTCAGCATTCGAAGGGTATGCGTCACTTCTGTCATTAGTAACATGCAATTCAAATTTCAAACAATATATAAACAAGTAAAAAAGCTGTAAGTTCGGCCCCTCCACCATTTGGAACGAATTTAGTAATTGTCAAAAAAACTAAAACCCGTTAAAAATTCTGTTAAAATCTTAAAAATACCTAATATAGCCGTTATATTAGGGTCTACACGACGACGTGGACCTGCATAGGCAACTTTTGTCATACGCCATTACAATAAATCCCCGAATAATGCAGCAAAAATCATCAAAATACAGAATATCGGGAGGTGCCTTTATATCGGAGCTATATGAAGACGATGACCAGCACCTACAATTTACTGTCATAGGCTGTAGCATCCGTTACAAACTTCAAATAATAAATTTGAAACAATTCCGCTGAATAATGTCGCTTTAATCACCAAAATACCGAATATCGTGAGGTGCAGTTATATGGTGACTATACGAAGGCGTGGCCCTTCGCAAACAAAATTTCTGTCATAGGCTATAGTATCCATTACGAACTTCAAATACCAAATTTTAAACCTTTCTGGTGAATAATGTCGCTAAAATCATCAAAATTCCCAATATCGGGAGGTACCGTTATATAGGGACTATACCAAAACTTGGACCTACATGGCCCATTTGCAATACCAAAAGTTCTGTAGGCATAATACACATTTGAGTAAAATTTTATCAATCTATTTCATTTCTTTCGGGAGCTAGAATGATTTCCACAGACGGACGGACATCGCTAAGTAGACATAGCTTTTTATGCTGATCAAGAATATATATACTTTGTGGGGTATAAAATGTATATTTCGAGGTATTACAGACGGAATGACAAACTTAATATACCCTCCATACTATGGTGGAGGGTGTAAAAAGGAGTAGAGAACTCTTTACGAAATAAGTAATTTCGTTAAAATGTGGCTAAAATCGGCCAAATACAAAATATCGCGAAATATCGTTATATGGACAATATTCTGGAGAAGTAGGTAAGAATCTGGAGCTAATATGGCCAAAATGCCGAATATGAGAATTGGAAAACGTGAACAAATTTCTGTCTCCGGGAAAAAAATCTATATGAACTCAAAATACCGAATTTTAAGATATTCCCCTAAAAACTGTGACTAAAATCATCAAAATTCCGAATATAGGGATATACAAGTATATGGGCATATACAAAACGTTGACATAGATAAATTAATAAAATAGATAAAGAATAAAATAAATACTGAATTGTAAGCTATTCCCTTAGAAAGTGTGTCAAAATCGTCAGAATCCCGAATATTAGGAGGGAGTTATATGAAAATAAGAACCTGTATTGAGAATGTTTGCCACAGCAGGTAGAACGCGAGGGCTATTCGAAGACGTTGACCGATATAGCTTTAAATTTACTTGCCTTGCAGACAAGAGACAATTCTATGAACATTTTAGCCTCCTATCACATGTCATTTAGAATATAGCGTGGTTACAATAGACGGACTGACATGGCTAAATCGACTTAAAGTTTTACATTGATCAATAATATATGTAATTTGTTGGGTCTAAAATGATTTTTTTCGATTGGTTACAAACGGAATGACAAACTTAATGTACCCATCATACTATGTATGAAGAATTCTGGCCTATGTTCTAAACAATGAAATCCCTCACGTATTTTTAGCAGTGTAATTTCAAAGTGATGTTATTTATTTTATGTATATTTCACTGAAGAAAATATAACATAACATATTTAGCAACGGATTTTTAATCGCAAAACTTTTAAACTTAAATTTAAGATGCTACTATTCAAAGCAACTTCGTTTTTAAAATAAATGGCTCTGGTAAATATGTTACGTGTCTCGGTGTTAGTTTGACTTTGTGCTATTTTAGACGATACACAAACACCGTAATAAATTTCAACTTTACTGTTTTGCACTGAATGTACTTTAGTTAGATAGACATCTAACAACTTTAATGTTTCGAATAAGGGGCTATCCATAAAAATGGAATGGAAAATTATACTTAAATTAAAAGTTAAATTAAAGAAAATATACGTTTTCAGTATAAACAAGTAAAAAAGCTGTAAGTTCGGCCGGGACGAACTTTTAATACCCTCCACCATTTGGTCCAAAAAAAAAAAATAAAATAAAAATAAATAAATAAAATCCGTTGAAAATTCTGTTAAAATCTTAAAAATACCGAATGCCTATACGACGACGTGGACCTGCATAGGCAACTTTTGTCATAAGTTATTACAATATTTAAATCCGTTATATGGGGGCTATACGAAGACGTGGACCTGCACAGACAATTTTCTGACATGGGCTGAAGTATCCATTACGAACTTCACATGCGAAATTTGAAACAATCCCATAGTATGGTGGATGGTATAAAAATTAAAAGTAAACTAATCAGTGTTTACTTTTAATTTTTATATATATAAATATATATTCTCGTTTTTACATTTTAAGTGTCCGACAATTTCTAAATACAATTCAATCTCCCATATAGGCATATTCCTAATATTAAATCGTTTTAAGTGTACGTATTTCTTGTTGTTATAGTTCATATATGTGCATGGATGTGTACATACTTTATAGGTTGTTAAGCTCTGGCTAAGTGCCACATAAAATTTTACATTACATATGTGTGCATGTGCTATCATGACGTTGTAAGACAATACAAGTTTTATATTAACCAGCCAGCTTTTCATCCTACTCAAGAACTTATATGTATGTACTTTATATAACCCTTTTCGTTTAGAAATGTTTAACGTTGTTGCCCAGCATCATCGCTGGCAAACATGCAAACATTTGAGTTAAACTTACCTGAGCGTTTTTCTGCCTCATTAATTGGTACATTTTCTAAAACAATAGCCTCAGAGCGTCCCTTCTGATTGACACTGTACACAACGAGGTGCAGCGCAGGATTTGGATCGGGATAATAGTCCATGGGTGTTAAATCTGTAAAATAAATGGAATAATAAAATCGTAATTTAATAAATATGATTTTTTTGATACTATTATACGGGAAGTTAACATACATAAAACATAACATACATTTCAGACAGAATTTTTAGGAAAAGTTTAAGAAATAATCGAAAGAGCTTAAGCATTGGAAAGCAATGTCATGACAAATAATTTGTGACAACAGTTATATCAAAGAATTGTTGACAAATGTGGTTGCTATTTTCGTATGAAGTGGACAAGACTTACTGGACTACGACGTAACTTAAACAAAGTCCCAATAACGTACAAGGGAATAATTCTCAATCGCTTAAATAGTTCAGTTTTGAACGATGTAGAAGAACTGGCTACAATTTGACATGGAAAAGGTTAATATTTTCATTCTAGAGCCCTGTTTGAAATGTTTTTCGAAATTCACATTTGTTACGGGGTCTCTGTAAAGTCTTTGTTAACGAAACTTGGTACAAATAAATGTTGGGATATAGTCCCGATATATATAAAATTCTGATAATATACGTTTCAGGGACAGTAGATGGTCTGTGAATGTTGAGGTAAAAATCTAAAAATCTTTGGATATAGTCCCCATACATATTTTTTATTGTTTCGCAGACCTTTATACAATAAAGGTCTGATCTTCTTAAAACGCAGAATATATTTGACTCTCGCCTAGCTGGTGATGTGTACAGAGTGAGATAAAAAAAACTGCAACAAAGTCAGACGCGATAATTTTTACAGTTCTTTATTAAATTTTATTGAATGAAAGCAAAAAATGTCGATAATAGTATCAAATTTTAGAATAATTTCAGATGTGTTTGAATCGGTCACCTTGGCACGAATTATGGCCTTCTAACAGCCAATGAAACCGTCACGCGCTGCCCGAATGTTGCTCTGCGGTACTTTGGCCCATTCCCGGCGAAGCGCTTGCTTCAGGTAATCGACATTTTAGTATTCTTTAGTGCCAACCTTGCTTTCCAAAATTCTCCAGACACAATAGTCCAACGGATTGGTACCCATTGTGCGCTGGAAATGAACCAAGGAACCTCATTTTGTAACCATTCTTGGGTAGCGCGTGCTAAGTGTGATAGTACTGAGTCCTGTTGAAATGACCAAAATGTTTGCGTGCCCAAGTCTTTAATAGGCCCTTCTGAATATTTTCGTGATAATATTCGGCATTTATTCTGATGCCACAGTCAATTAATACGAGCGGAGAGCGACCATTGGCTGTTATGGCGGCCCACACCATCACCATGGCCGGCGCTTGAGTTCTGGTGGCCAACCGAAGGTGCATATTTTCAGCTGACCTCTTTGGCAAGTAAACACGGTCATTTTATTTGTTTACAAACTGCTGGACAACGAATGTTTTCTCATCGGAGAAAACCAAATTCGGGAGTTCACCACTTTTGGCCAAGCGAAGCAACTCTATTCTTTCCGTTACGTTGTAAATTCTTGCACTTTTTGGAATACCCCGATCTCATTTTTCAATATCTGCCGAATAGAATATTGCGATATGTTCAGCTCACTAGCCATTTTTCGGCCACTGCGACGTGGGTTTCGATCAATTCGCCTCTTTACTTTTCCAACCATTTCTGCTGATGTTGCTGTTTTCTTCCGTCCACTTTCTTGACGTCGGGCTACGCTACCTGTATCACGGTAACGAGCGATGGCACGAGACACAAAAGATTTATTCACATTTAAATGTTGGAGTGCTCTAACGATAGCCACTTGTGATTTTCCAGCCAAATATAAAGAAATCACACTATCACGCTTGAATTCCATCACGAATAACTTTTGTTCTGGAAAATGCTCACGGAAATTCTTTTCATTCTAACACATGAAAAATATAATTTAATCTCTCAATCAGGAATTTAGAAAAATGTTGATAAATCTCGGATCGTTAGGGATATTGAATTGACGTGCGATTCGTAGATATTCTCTCCGAATGGAGCATAATTGTCATGTCAAGTAATTGCAACATTATCATTCACATTATATGGGTTGTAGCTACATTGTAGATTTTATATTGTTCTACTACTAGCCAAATCGTATATAACACGAATATTTTTTTAGTTATCGGTTTCTAGAATACATATACAAAATACGGGGAGGAGAAATTGTAGTACTATACCAAACCGTGAACTTTTATGCACAATTTGGTATTCTAACGAACACCAAGTACTCATTAAAATACGGAGTATTGGAGGTACCGTTATAAGGTGGTTAAATCAAAGCAAAAAAAATCAAATTGCAGATTATTTCGTTAAAAACACCTTTACCTGTCGTAGGAGCTGGAATTTACATTGGGAACCCCAAATCTTAAATTTGGTCCCCTCTAAGAAGACATAGACCGATTTCGTTGTTATGAAACGGAGTGAAGGATATCAAATACCAAGCTAAAACGAGTTACATTGAAAAATGTGGACGTTACTGGTAAATTAAAGCGGTACTAGTACCAACATATGGAACAACATTGAAAGTTTTTTTTTGGAATTCACCGTTTTTTCAATACCTTGAATAGTTTTGCATCATTCAAAATAGGAACATTTTTTTTGTCTCTGTAAAAATACCTAATTTATTCGCAGCTTGGTTTATAACGCATAGTTTCAAATCAAATTGTATGCCGTTTGTGTATACAATGAATATGACTGTTATTGCCGCAGTCCCACTCGCATACAAATGTGATTCGAAGTTAGGCAATTAGAAAAGCGTCCTTGTTGTTGAGGTGTCTAACAACACGAAGGTTTACTGACTGATTAAGAGGACAAATCACATATACACCCCTTAGACGGGGCCACAAATTAATATTGCAAAATAATCAACATACATACGCCGCGTATGTGTATTTACGTTTGTATACAGATACATATACATGCATATTTTATACAAACATCAAATAATCTCACACTTAGTCACGCTCCAGTAGTAATGGCTGTGCTATTTGCCGATAATTACCTTTTAATAGGCTGTAGACTGACTGGTTGATTGGCTTCCCTTCAGAAAAAAAGAGTAGTACCGCAGTGCTGCTCGAGTACTCGCCAAGCGATACCGACCACTCGCTCTTCATTTCCCCGTTAACGGTAAGAGCTGCTGACTTTTACACTGGACTGTCGTGTGAAAATCAGTACTCGCTTTTGCAGCGCTCTGTGAGGGGTGAGCGACTGCTGAATTTTGCATCAGTCGCCATTGAAAGAAAGTAACTGAACATACTGCACGATCGTAATTATTCGCATTGCCATTGCGAATAATTAAAAGAATGAAAGACAGATTTTGTTTTCATTCAGCTATTTTTATTTCAAAACAATATTTTTTTTCTTTTTTTTCTTTTCTTTTTCACTTAAAAAAAAAACAAATATTTTACTTGCAAGTCCACACAATGCACAAAACACAAATCACAAATAAGCATAATCAGATGCTGACAGTGTTACCAATATATGCGATTATAAAAAAAAAACAGTGCAGCACTTGCGAGTAGTCAAGCAGTACTCGCCGCCTACAACCATTGATACTACTGACTTTTTCATCAGTGTAGCACCACTCGCAGTTCATCAATACCTCCACCGTTTTCTGCAGGGTTACTACTTGTGCTGCTACCTGCATGGGTGTATGTGTGTGTGTGTGTGAGTTTGGAGTCAGCAATTGTGGATGTGAATGACAAACGGTAGCGGCATTGGATTACTCATTGAAATAACATTAATTAGTTGCGTAATTACCACAGCAAAGATGTAATGTCAACAAACCAAGCGTCAACAGCTCGTTGCTGATAAGCAGTAGTGGGTACTTAAAACTTTAGCAATCCCTGCTCGGCTGAACTCCTTCTACAACAAAATTATCAACCGGAACATAGTACTTCAAAGTGGGAATTTTGTGTATACAATTCTAACATATCAAAGTTTGAACACAGTTTTTGTTTTCCACCTCCCACCTTTTGCAGCCACAAAACAAAACTTCGAAGTCATGCCAACAACTAATGACAATGGGATTTCCACAAAAAACTGGGAACCAGCAAATCATTGAGAGTTTTTTAAACTTCGATAATTATAAAAGTAGGAATTACAAGTATCAGGCCGTAAAGAAAAAATAGGGTTGAAAAAGTAACCAGGATTTTGCTTGTTTTTCACTTTGTTTTCAGACGATTATAAGCTTCTCATTAGCTCTAATGGTGTAGGATATTCCTTTTTTTTTGGTTTTCGATTTGGCGTCTTACTTTTTTGTGGCAAAATCTTGAGCTGCAGTTAACCGCACGCCGTAACCAAGCAATCTTTGCCAACACCAACAACCATAGAAATATTTAGGATTCCGGAGCTTTGCAAAAAAGGGTGATTTGCCTCGAGGCGAATTTACCCAGACCAAACAAGAACGCTGAGCGAAATACAAATTTAGCTAGTAAAACTCTTTTAATGTTGAGTTTTTTTTATTCTTTTTTGATGTCGTGTTTAATGAGCCAAACTTTGATTATTGAAGTTTTTGTTTGCTCTCTGTATTTTCATTTTGTGTTCGTTCTATCTTCCTTGTTTTTGTTTGTCTTTTTTCACAGGGAATTAGTGATGTTGAAACCTGAAATTGTATAATGAGGTGTATGAAAATCCATAGATGTATAGGTGGTTTGCTATGAAGGAGCTTATTTTTTGTTAGCTATTGAAAACGCTAAAATATTTTTTCATGCTTAGATTCAAAGGAAAGTAAAAAAGAGATGTTTTTGGTCTCTTTAGTTTGGGAAATTCCATGCCAATGTGTGGAGAGACTGTCATTTGCCAAAGGCAATATAGAAAATACGTACATAATGAAAGTCTATTTAATGTTCATTGGCACATGACCAGACGTATTTAATATTTTTTGTACGGTGTATGGATTTTTCTTACATTTCGAAAAAAAATTTTCGATATCTTTCAACAATTTAAAATCATAGCAGTCTGTTGAAATTATGATAGTTTTCACTAAATATGATAAAATGCTTTGAATTACTTCATATACTTTAAAAAAAATACTCATTCTATATCTTC